CCCCCTGACAAATTGTAATTTTGATTTATTGTGTTTATAATTCCTTTGTGTCCTCTACGCATAAGCCCTGTAGTCCTTAAGATAATATTAGCTCTTAAGAAATACTGAGTATGTCACTGATTTTTCTCATTCTGTTTCTCTAAGAGATCATTATTAACTGGATATTACTATTAAGATATGGAAAATATTGCCTTATAAGGTAGAAAACATTGTTTTAGGCATTCATGAGGTTGTGTCTTATACATACCAGTTATTTCTTATGTGTTCTTTGACTAATTTGCTAAATCTTTTCAAGCCAATTTTGTCAAAAAAGAATGAAATGAAATTAACATAGATCATACATAGCATAGTATCTGCCTACATATGTGCTCTTCAAAGTCAGAGTCAGGAGATTCTGTTTTTATCAAAAACTTTTCTCAAGCACTCAATTGATGATGGTAACTTCTTCCTTCAAATGCTTCCCCTCTTGTTATTGTGGAGATATTTTGATTTTTTTTTTTTTTGGCAATTTGGGTCACATCATATGAAACTCAGGGGTTACTCCAGGATTTTCACTCAGGAATTACTCCTAGTGGTGCTCGGGGGACCACATGGAATGCCGGGATTGAATCCGGTTGTGCCACGGCAAGGCAAACACCTTATCTACTGTATTATCTCTCAAACCCTTCTATTAGTATTTTTAAAAATATACTTTATGTACTTAAGGGAGACCATTTGCTATTGTTGAAGATTCAGCCCCAGATCTTTTTCTGTAACTTAACAATGTGACTTAATAATTGAGCGATTGTCTTGTCTTAAATATGTGAAGTTCATGGTTGGAGCCCCAGTATTAGGAGAAAAACAAACATTGAGCCCATTATATATCTACTCAGACTGCTATTAAAAAACATATCATCTGTCTAGCATAGAAACAGCAGTATTTTTTTCTCATAATTCTGGTTTGGAAAGTCCAGTCTGCCTGGTGATGTCCACGTTCTGGTTCACTTATGATCATCTTCCTCAGTGACAACTGTCTTCTCACTGGAATCTCATGTAGTAGAGGCAGGCGAGCTCTTCTCTGGCCACCAATCCCAGTCACAAAGGCTCTAACTTCAGACCCAGTATCTTCCAAAAACCTTTGTCTTTATTTCATCTCCCTGGGATTTAGGATTTCAGTAATTTTTCAGGGGAGGGTTCAGAGAGATAATACAGCAGATAAGGCTTTTGCCTTGCACACAGCTGATCTGTTCGATTCCCAGCAACACAGGATTTCTTTGAGCCCTGCCAGGAGTAATCCATGAGCACAGAGCCCGGAGTAAGCCCTAAACACTAGTGGTATTGTCCAAAAATCAAAACAGTCAAAAACGATTTGAGGGACTCAAGCGATAGCACAGCGGGTAGGGTGTTTGCCTTGCATGCGGGTAGGGTGTTTGCCTTGCATGCGGCCAACCCGGGTTCAATTCCCAGTATCCCATATGGTCCCCCTAGCACCACCAGGATTAATTCCTGAGGGCATGAGCCAGGAATAACCTCTGTGCATCTCTGGGTGTGACCCCCCCCAAAAAAAAAGCGAAAAAAAAAGGGGAGAAATGAATTAGCCTATAGCAGTTATTTTTTTTTCAGATTCTGTTGATTTCTAAAGGAACTGAGGCACGTGTTTAGCCTTTTATTTTAGTTAATTAATATTTGTTTGCTTTTGGCCATGCAAGCTGTGTTTACGGATTTCTCCTGGCTTTGTGTTCAGAGAGCACTCTTGACAGTACTCAGGCAACAATATTTTAATTTATATTTAATAATATTTTAATATATATGTTTTTTGAGCATTCTGCCAGTGCTTGGAGGCTTACTCTTGGCTCTGTGCTTAAGGTTCATTGCTGGCAGGGGTCAGGGGACTCCAAGTACCCTACTCACTGTACTTTCCCTTGGCCCCCACATAATACTTTCCTTTTATCAAAATTCACTTTTAATAAACTTCAGATGAAATATTGTAAATAAAATAATTCAGTATATGTTGTATGTGCAACAAGTTGATGTTAGCTCATTTAAATCTTTTTTGTAATAAATGGCTATTAATAAATCATAAAGCAATAATAACAATTTAACTTAATTTTATCTAAGTAATATTTATTTCCTTATCCCTTATTTTTTTATCTCTCTTTTTGTCTAGAGGATGAGTTCAGTCACTCTTTGATCCTTACTGGATAAGATGTATTATTTACCAACTTTCATTTCTAGATCTTACAGATATTCTGAGTTGTGGAATTTGTTGAAACTGAATTGCATCTCTGTTAAGTTTGGTAATGAAAATATTCAGTTTTTATGTTAGGTCATGGATAGTTTTATGTTCCTCTAAATAAAAAGAAATAATCAATGCTCCCTTGATGATGCTTGAAGTAGCAATATATCTCTCTGTTTTGTTGAAGCCTTTCCAAGACTTTTTTGTGTGTTCATTGTTTGTGAAACTATTGCTGTTATGTCCTCTGATGTATATTAAAGTTATAAAATATATTCAAGTCAGGACCTCTTGCCAGGCCACATTTACTAATTTTGGGCTCATCTTTGTTTTTTTGCCAGCCTGCATTCTGTGAGACTATGTACTGTGTCTTCTGATTGATATCATGTGTGAAGCACTGGTGACTGCCAAGAGTTTTAAGAATGGAAATATTCAGCATAGTCATGAATCTATTTACCAGCAGCATTTGGTAGTTATTTTTCTACCCAGTGCTCCTTAGATTGTTGGCCATTAAGTTTAAGTATGAATAAAGAAAGGCAAAAGCAATATCATAGTGGATAGGGTGCTTACATTGCACATAGCCAAGTTTGATCCTGGGTTTGATCCCGACATAGCATTTGGTCCCCTGAGTGTTACCAGGAGTTATTCCTAAGCACAGAGCCAGGAGTAAGTCCTGATCATGGCCAGGTCTAACTCTCTCAAAAACAAACAAACAAACAAAAAACCAAAAATATAAAAATAACCAAGTAAAAACAATAACAAGAGGATAAATTAAGTAATCTGTGTTTAAATATTTCCAAAGTTGAAAAACCCTACCAAGTTAGATTATACTGATCTTTCTTGTCCTTGCCTTTGTACAGCAAATAGAGCTACTTTAAGGTTGACAATATACTTTTCAGTTGTGAAACTCACACTCATGAAATTCTTCTGTCCTTGGTAAAAACCAGATCGTCAGCCTAATCATTTATTGTGATCTCCAATAAAAATTTTAAGGGTGAATTCCATTTTAATTTTGTCATGGTGAAAATTGTGTTTCTAATTTGGGATGGGGGGGGTGCTTCTTTGCTAAAGAAAGTGGGGGAGAAATTCCTAGTTATCTTTGACTACATAGATAAGAACATGGTTGGACATTTTAGAGTTGGAAAAGATTATTTATTCCTTAATATTATTGGCATTTAATGAGAGGTCCAGAAATTTATTTTCAGCTTAATCAGTTAAAACAAATTATGACTGATATTTCTTGGGGGCTTAGTGTGAATCTGGATGTTTTTGTGCCATTGGGATTTTACATAGAAGAAAGAGAGACTCTTGAGAATTTATTTTTAACGGTCCCAATGTCACATGGCTTGTAAATAAATGATGGGAAGGAAAATAAACCCAAGACTACATTCATGTCTAATATTCTTTTGTTATTCTGAGACATCTTCCTTTGAAAAATAAGGACGTTGAAAAGAGGTAGTTTATTTTTTTTAAATTTTTCTGAAGCTTTGTCATTTTCCAAATGACAAAAGATTTGTCATTTTAATGGATTCAATTCAATAAAAAGAAATACTCTTACATTTTCTTATTTATATTTTTCCATTTGATTTTTTTCATCATTTTTGGTCTCCAAGTATCCCCATTTATTTTAACTTTTAATATTCCAGTTGAGTTAATACAAAGTAATGACTTTAAGAAATACTATTTTTCTTTTTTCCAAATATGTTTTCTTCAGATGTAATTAAAATATGTTTAATTAAGGAGTTTTAAGTACATTTGCCGTTTTGTAGACATTAGTATAGTTTATTTTAAAACATTTTCATTCCCGGGGCCGGAGCAATAGCACAGTGGGTAGGGCGTTTGCCTTGCACGCAGCCAACCTAGGTTCAATTCCCAGCATCCCATATAGTCCCCTGAGCACCGCCAGGAGTAATTCCTGAGTCTGTGAACCAGGAGTAACTCCTGTGCATCACGGGGTGTGACCCAAAAAACGAAAAAACAAAAACAAAAAATCAAAAACAAACAAAAAAAGCATTTTCATTCCCTTCCCAGAAAACTATACGCTTTAGCTATCAACCTCTTGCCACCCTGAATCCTCACTGCACCCTTGCTCCAGTCCGTACCATTTTCTCAGTCATGGAAACATCTAGTCTGCATTCTGTCTTTAAGAATTTACCTGGTCTGGTCATCTCATATAAATAGAATCACATTTTACATTGTTTTGATAACCATCTTCTTTTACTTAACAGGCTTCCAATATTTACCAATGTTGTAGCTTCTGTCAGTATTTCTTTTTTGGCCAAATAGTATTCCTCCTCAAATATGGCTAACCTACATTTCATTTATTCATCATTTATTCTACATTTTTATTTGTTTTGGGCTACCCCCAGCTGTGCTCTCCTGACACTGTTCAGGAATGACATCTGCTGGGCTCAGGGACTGTATGGGGATGCTCGGGATTAAACCTGAATCACTGCAAGGTAAGGACCTTACCTGTTATAATATCTTTTTGGCCCCTTTGGGGCATTTTTTTCCCACTGTAGGATTATTACAAATATTGATGATGTTTTGATTAGTTTCTTGTATGTATTTTTTGATTTACCTCCTTTGAATTGTCCATGCCTTTTCACTTTCCTGGTTAGCTAAGTTACAGTTTGTTCCTTTAGAATGACTAAACAGTTCTTGTCTTACCTTCTAACTGAGAGGATACTGAGAAATCGCGAGCTTTCAAAAAACTAATATTTTACTAGAAACAGTTTTAAGCCATATCAAAAATCAGATTAAGATACTTAGTATAAAAAAGTGGTGGGGAGGAGGCTTCTACCATGAGTGGCACACATAGGCGGCTCACATGCGCTGTGTACAGAAACATCAAGAGATTTCAGAAGCATAATTTTTTTTGTCAGTAGGGCAGCTGGTGATTGTTGGTCTTGGTGCCCTCCCAACCCCCAAAAAGATTTTTTATGTTGTACCTTACTGCTTTGTCCACAGAACATTTTCTGTTTTATAAAATCAAATTAGCTTTTGACTAGAAAATTCTAGGGATGTTATAATAATAATAGGAGTTAAGCATCTACTGATTTACTGAATATTTTTAACATAGTAAGTGCTTTATACTGTGATCATTATATTTATTATCTCATTTATTACCAAAAATTCCATGTATTTGTAATAGGTTCTATTTTCTTCTGGGACACTGACAGAGATGCATAATTTCCTCATGTCATTAAGTTAAAATGTAGTAGAGTCATAACTTTCAAACTCATTTCTATCAGAATTCAATTATGTCTAAGTCCTTATTTATTTAGTTAGTTTATTAAAATGTTTTGGTTTTTGGCCACGCCCAGCAATGCTCAGGGCTTACTCCTTGCTCTGCACTCAGGAATGACTCCTTGGGGGGGTGTGTGTTGGAGGGGAGGCTAAGAGGACCATATATAGATGCCAGAACCAAACTCCATGTAGCCATTGGCAAGGCAAGTGCCCTACCCACTGTGCTTTTGCTCAGCCTTTGGCTATGTTTTTCGTTCATTTTTTGTTTGTTTGTTTGTTTTGCATTTTCCGACACACCTGCTATGCTCAGGGGTTACTCCTAGCTCTGCATTCAGAAATTACTCTTGGCCTTGTTTTGGACACCATATGGAATGCTGACGATCAAACCCGGCTCCAGACCCGCTGTATTATTGCTCTGGCCTCCTGTTTATTTAGTTTTTGGGTTTTGGTTTCACCCTGCTGTGCTCAGGGCTTTCTCCTGGCTCTCTGCTCACGGATCATTCCTGGCAGTTTGCAAGGTTTTATAGTGGTGCCAAGAACTGAACCTGGGTCAGCTGCATGCAAGACAAGCCCCTTATACTCTGTACTTTCAGGCACATGTCATTCTTTCTAGTAACATATCTTTATTGAAATAAATGTACATACTACGAGCATTTGTGCTGGCATGTTTGTATTCATTTGGCCACATCATAAATATAATATTGGAGAAATCTACTTGTGAGAATATTTTAGCTCTTGTATTTCTTCATTTCCTTAGTGGTTGACTAGTGCATAACATTTTACACATCTAAGCTTTGCATAAATATCCTAATGAAATATTGTTTGGGAAAAATAATTTTTAGTCTTTTTTCTGAATATATTATTTGTCAGATTACATATTTCAAAGATGTGTTGAAATTTTTTCCCATATTAAAAGCTACATAAGATCTCATTTTTATAAGATTATATTTATGTTGGATAATTCGTCGATTGCCGAGCAGGCCCCAGTAACGTCTCTTTCATCCTAACCCTGAGATTATATTCATGGCTCTTTAGGAGAGTGAGACCCATCATTGTTACTGGTATTTGGCATATTTGGTACGCCACGGGGAGTTTGCCAGACTCTGCCCTGTGGGCAGGCTATCAAGTTTGTCCAAAGTAGGAATGAGATGATAAGATGTCATAAAAGATGTCCTGATAAGATGTTGCGCGGCCGCATTTGCGGCCGCGCGGTTCCGGGAGATCTCAGCCCCAGAACCCGCGTGACTTTGTCCCTCTGCCAGTACCTTCAGGTGTGCGGAGAGTGGTCTCAGCATGGTGGTGGCTGGTCCTGGAGGTCTTCGGCTGCCGGAGCCCTGGTTGGGGCGGGGAGGAAAGCTCAACCCGCTCCCCTCCAATGGGCCCCGGCGAGGAACAGCCAGGCGCGGTGGCAGACTGCACTGTTCTCGTCCGGGAGCTGGATTTTATAGTCTCTGAGTCTTGGCCATTGATGGGATTAACGGCGCCAGGGGGCCAGGTGGTGGGTGTGACCCCCGCCTACTGGAATTTGGAGGATCTGGGTGGAGGATGCTCGACTCCAATCCGAGTAGGCTGGGAGATCTCGGCCCCGGAACCCGCGTGGATTTGTCCCTCTGCCAATACCTTCAGGTGTGCGGAGAGTGGTCTCAGCATGGTGGTGGCTGGTCCTGGAGGTCTTCGGCTGCCGGAGCCCTGGTCGGGGCGGGGAGGAAAGCTGCTGAGACCACTCTCCACACACCTGAAGGTACTGGCAAAGGGACAAATCCACGCGGGTTCCGGGGCCGAGATCTCCCAGCCTACTCGGATTGGAGTCGAGCATCCTCCACCCAGATCCTCCAAATTCCAGTAGGCGGGGGTCACACCCACCACCTGGCCCCCTGGCGCTGAGTAATCCCATCAAGGCCAAGCGCATGTTGGATAATGATCCAAAAAATCCCTTATCAACTACTTATAAAACTATTGTCACTGTTCCAGATTTCTTCCTACTTTTACTTTTTGTATATGTTTTATGTGCCAGTGGCGCAATCGGTTAGTGTGCGGTACTTATGTGTATATATTTTATAATTTTTTTTTCTTTTTGGGTCACACCCGGCGATGCACACGGGTTATTCCTGGCTCATTCACTCAGGAATGACTCCTGACAATGCCATATGGGATGCTGGGAATGGAACCCAGGTCAACCACATGCCAGGCAAACGCCGTACCTGCTGTGCTATCACTTCAGCCTCTATGTTTTATAATTTTCATCTTTTCTATTTACCTTTGACTAGGAAGATTTTTAGTATTAACAACTTTCAATTGATTATTCGATGCTATCAAATAATGCTTTTAATTTTTCTCTAAAATAGTCTAAGACGTTATTACATAATTTTATTTTAGGTTATTTTCTTTAAATATTTTAGAATTTAAGAATATTTTTAGGGGGTATGATGCTGCCAGCAGGTCATTTTGTACCTGTGAGGTGAGTGCATCAGCAGTCTGATGGTACCGTCAGGCTTTCAGATGCCCCAAAATTGCTGCTGTGCCTTTGGTCAGACCCCAAAAACTTTGGGCAAAGTTTAGCAAGAAAGTAAACCACCAAAAGTTAGGTATGTGGGAGACACACCCACAAACCACCTCTGGCTCAGCTATATAATTGGAGGCATGGCCTCTCTGGTTCCTGATCAAACTGCTTAATGGCCATGATCCCAGAGACTCAGAAACGAATCTTGGAACCCAAAGGCTTTTGGCAGAAATGTGTCCTGATCCTGCAGTAGGTTACTGGCTCTGGACCAATCCAGGTGGGAAAAGGTTTCATGCCTTGGCCTGTTCCCCTTGGCAGCCCGATGACCACCATCCTCCTGAGGCTACTGGACAGTCAGTTTTGGGCCTGCAGTGACGAGACATGCAGAGCCTCACAAGATGGGGGTGGAACCAGCCCTTTCCTCCCCATCCCAGCAAGACACCGAGTCGCTGACTACATTAGGCCTCTCTGGCTCCTGATCAAGTTAATTAATGGCCATGATCCCAGAGACTCAGAAACAAATCTCGAAACCCAGCAGCTTTTGGTAGAAATGCATCTGGACCTCCTACAAGGTGGCCGCCACCTCAGAGTTTCTTGGAAAACCAGGAGTTGGGGCCACATAGCGCAGATCTACTGGCTCTGTACTATGTATCATACTTAGCAGGGCTCAGGGAAATGTATATGATACCAGGGATCAACCACATGCAAGGTCACACCTGGCGATGCTCAGTGGTTACTTGTGGCTCTGCACTCAGGAATTACTCCTGGCGGAGGGACATGTGGGATGCTGGAGATTAAACTCAGGTCAGCTACATTCAAGGCAGACAACCTACCTGCTATAATATTGCTCTGGCCCCAACGGTGTTATTTTTTTGAAACATATTTCTTAAGTTCAAACTTTAAAATAACATAATCATTTATAAAATGACATAAAAAGGAATAAAGTAGTGTTTTCTTGTGAAAAAAACAAAACAAAAAAACAAAAAAATAATATTTTTATAATCATATTACTTAGTTGACTTGTTTACAGTTTTCTGTTTAAATATGAGAGAGATTAAATATAGCAATTTCTATCTAAATTTCTAGCAGTATTAGTAAGAGCAGTTACCACTTAATTGAGTCCAGTAAGCATTTAATTTTGTTATTATCTTTTTTATTTGTTTTGGGGCCACACCCAGTGATGCTCAGGGATTACTCCTGGCTCTTCACTCAGAAATCACTCCTGGAAATGCTCAGGGTACCATATTGGATGCCAGGGATCTAACTCAGGTCAGCCATATGCAAGGCAAGAGCTTACCCACTATCAGTCTGGCCCCTGGTATGATATTTGTGCTTGTTAACAAGATCAGAATCCTTTCAAGGATCTTTGTTCAAGATTTCAAATCATCCACAAAGAAAGGAAATGTCTAACTAGGATTTTTTTCCTTACAGTGGAATTGCCCAGATAAGTTTAGCTTTAGGGTTTTGGAGAACCATTAACAGAAACGAGGAGGTATTGATTAATACATTTTATACTTTTATGTCCAACTTGTAAAAAGTTCAATATATTTTTGATTGACTTTGTTTGACAAAATTACCATTCCATTGTTTTGCCTTATGGACTTGTGGGTTATAAGTGATAAAATAACAGATTTGTATGAACACAGTTTACCTTATAACTTTATTAAATCTTTTTCCTGTTCTAGGTAGGTGTTTTAATTAAAATATTGGCATCCTTTGAGATATATCTGTCAAATTCTTATTTATAAATTCTCTGAGGAATAGAGGTTGGAAGGAGGGCAAGGGCAAAAGAGATGGTTCAACTTTCCCTCAGACCTTGTCTATTGCAGCCACAGTCATTAGGTCAAGAATTCTCTGGGCAGGACACAAAAGTGCTAACCTTAAAATAAAATTATAGAAGACTCAAACCAGACTGTGCATGATCTGATCATAAAGAATTGTGAGACAGTCATTTTGACCTTCCAGGAGCTTACAGTCTAAAAGGGCACATAAGTATATTCTATGTGCAGATGAAATTCAGTAACAATGCTCAGGAAAAAGGTGTTCTCAGTGGAATCCATCCCTGAACGTCCATAGCAAATTCAGCTGTCGGACAGAAAGGATGTTTGAGATTAGAAGAGAGATCTGACGTATCTTTGCTTTTTCTTATTTATGTGAACAGCTGTAGTGAG